ACAATTTTACAACCATCACCACAATGAATTTTAGAACATTTTCATCAACCCCTAAAAGAAAGCAGAGTTTCTCAAACTTCCATTCACTTGAATTTCCCTCCGATATCCCCCAGCACTAGGCAACACTTTGTGCCTTTGGATTTGCCTACTCTGGGGAAAAAAAAAAAGGATTATCTTTTAGAGATATATTCTTGGATATTTATGGATGGAAATATGTGTCTGGGATTTGCTTCAAAATAATCCAGTGTTGGAGGCTGGGAGCGGGTATGGATAGATTAAAATATAAAGTACTGTCAATGAAGCTGAGAGTGATTGATGCATGCATGAAACGTAGCATTTCATTATACTATTCTCTTTACCCTTGTATGTTTGAAATTTTCTATAATAAAAACAAACAAGGTTGCTGTTTGCTAGCCTGGTAGAAGAAAAACAAAACAAGATCATTGATTATCTCATACTGAAAAGTCTCTGAGGTGAGTTGAAGCAATATTGATTAAGTGGCTCAAGGAGGATTCCATCACTGACTCTGGTTCTTTCCATCTTTCTGCTCTGCCATTCTCAGCATGTTGACTTTGCCTCCTGGTGCTGGCGTGGTTGTGACAGTTCCACATATCACATGCAGAGAACACTGTCCAGAGGCAACAAAAGGGGACACACTGCTGTCTTTTGTCCATTTTTAAGACTGAAGGAAACTTTCCCAGAAACCCCCAGCAGACTTATTTCTCCTTGGCCAGAATGCCCTTGCTAATTCAATCACACAGGAAAAGGCTTGAGACCACTCTGATTAGCTTAGAATCTAAGATCCTCCCTTTGGGAGTTAAATAGATGGTAGACGTCCTGGAAGAATCTACAAATGGCAGGGCCATGTTAGCCATGTATGAAATAATCAAGTAAAAAGGTGATGGCTGTTGGGTAAAGCCATGGATAAGGTCAGCCCCAGGAGGGTCGAGCCAAGGAAGGCTGGTTACAGACATTCGAGCAGGTCCAGAACGCTTCCTGCTGGTCTGGCAGAAGTAACAAGGTTTCCTTGTGGTCTCCCTCCTTGAAGAGCCAGGACGGGACGCAGGCGGTGGGTCTGGCACTCCTAGCCGACAACACAGTGAGGTTTAATATACCAACGATGGCCACACCGTATACAATAACAGAACTCTGACCCACAACCTCTGCAGCAACAGGCCCCAAACAGGCAGAACTTGGTCACTTAACTGCCAGCTTCCCTATTTTTTGTCCACGTCCCACTTAGGAGCAATCGGAGAAAGCCAAATACGCTTCCCGAAGCAATCACACGGCATGAGTCGCTCCTAGCTAGCGTGCTTCCGACTGCCCCTCAACACGCTCCGACCAGGGCGCGCCTGGCCGCCCGTTTGTCTCCGCGAAGCTTTCCCACCCCCTCGCCTGCCTCTGAGTCTCTGCAAACGCAAGGGGAGGAGGCGGACGCCCTCGCGCCTCGGGCTCTGAGTGGGCAGCTCCGGGTGGTTCTCGTCGGGCCGTCCCGTTTCGTCCCCCGCCGCGCTGCAAGTCCCCGCCAGAAGCGGCTGCGCAAGCCCCGTCCAGGCACGACCTCCACATTCTCGGCCTCGGCCGCTGCGTGAGAACTGGAGCCGCCTGGTCCCGGGGGCCAGCGGGACAGGCGCGCCGCGGGGCAGAGCCGCAGGCAGCCAACTTTCCAACCCTCCGCGGTCAAAGGGAAGACCCGCACCTCATCTCAGCCGACCTCCAGCTCCCGCCCACTTCGACGTCGCCGCAGCCGCCGGAGCCCCGGCCGTCGGCGCGCGGCCTCCTGGGAGTTGTGGTTCGTTGCCGAGAGCCAGGCATTTCCGCCGCCCACCGGAAGCACCGCCATTCCCCGGCGCGCGCAGGCGGACCTGGTTTCCGAGGCTGGCGGGGGGTGTTCGCGGTTAGCCGTGCGCACAAGGACGGGGCCGGACCCACCCGAGTGACCCGGGCCGGCCGGGGGAGCGAGCCGGGTCTGCCGGGGTCTCCTGCTGCGTGGCCGGGGCTGATAGGGCCCGGGTCCCCCCGGCTGCTCCTAGGACCGGCCGGGGCTGGTCTGGTGGAAGCCGCTCTCCGCAGAGGCGGTCCTAGGGGTCTGGCGGCGGTACCTTGTCCGCCCCCAGCCGGTGCTGGGGTGTCAGGCCGGCGTACGAGGCCGGCTGTGCACCCGGGCTGGCCTCTCATGTCCCCTTTTACCTCCCTCACTTCATCGTCCGGGCTCATCCCCGGGAGGCGCACCGTGCACCAGGTGGTGGCCGAGAGCCTCCTGGCAGCGGCAACACGCGAGTGAGGCCTGCCGCACCCCACCGCCGTCCCAGCTCCAGGACGTGGACCTTGAACTCAGTTTGAAGGGAAAGTACGTGTTTTCCATGTGAACAGATGATTAAGGCCAATGTAGGCAGAGCGGGCGCAACTGGGGTGTTGGAAGCCCGCACTGGCTGAGTGTTGCTGGTGCGGCTGAGATTGGGACTGCGGAGGTGAGCAGGACGGTGTGTGCGCAGAGAGCAGGGACCGTGTGATCTGGGAATGAAAGACCGGCGTTCCGTCTGTGCTCAGGCCAGACTTGATGGGACCTTACAAGGCAGTGCTACTGAGGAAGGCACAGGGTTGGATTTTAAAGAGCCTAAGAAGATAGAGAAGCATCTGTTTGTGGAAATAACTCAGTGTGAGGAGGGATGCCAAGGGAAAGAGAAAGAGCTGAAGAAGACTTTTTGTTTCTGTTGCCAGCATGGAGCCAGCGTGGAGGTCACAGTGCAAGGGAGACGAGGAACTCCTGGTTAGTCTTTGTGTTGAGTTGAGGAGCTGTGGGTGACATGGCTGGATGTGGAGGAGGGGATGGCAGTGGCAGGAAGCCTAGGAGGCCTGGACTGGACGTGAAGTCCCAGCCCTGCAGCCGGAGGGGTCCTGCCAGACCAGTCCCCTGCCAGGTCCATCATGAGGAAAGGAGGGGGAGTTTTATGTCCAAATACAGTCATTATGACTAAATCTGTTGTGCCCCTTGTGCATGTCAGCACAATGTTAAGCTCTTTAAATGCAATTTATTTAATTCTTCCAGCATCTTCATGAGGCAGGACTGTCTATTCCAGATGTCTACAGATGAGGAAACTGAGGCCTCTGTAGGTGAGGAAACAGGAGGCCTATTCAGGGTCCTGCAGTGGCAGGTGGTGGAACCAGGACCTGGAAAGCAGGCTGCAGAGTGAGTGTTCCCAGCCCTCACCCCTGGATGCCTCCAGACAAAGAAGGACAAGGTCAGAGGGCAGAGATAGACACAGGCAGTGGGAGACTCCCCAGGGTCAGCGAGGAGCGTCAGGACAAGATAGTATCACATAGTTCTTGGGCAGCCTTCTCGGGTGTGGTGTGCGTTTGTGTGTGTGTGTGTGTGTGTGTGTCTGTGTGTGTGCTCAAGGGTGATGGGAGGGAATGGATGGGCAGGGTAAGAGGGGGAGACTGGGAGTGTTGGTCCCTTTGTCAGGGGCTCAGCTGAGAGGAAGTGGCAGAGGGGGTTGGGTACAGGGATGTGGATTGATCTTGACCGGAAGGAAAAATTCTCACCTCAAAAGTTGAGGGGAGGCCAAGCGCCGTGGCTCACGCCTGTAATCCTAGCACTCCAGGAGGCCGAGGCAGGAGGATTGCTTGAGGTCAGGAGTTCGGGACCAGCCTCAGCAAGAGCGAGACCCCGTCTCTACTAAAAATAGAAAGAAGTTAGCTAGACAACTAAAAATATATAGAAAAAATTAGCTGGGCATGGTGGCGCGTGCCTGTAGTTCCAGCTACTCGGGAGGCTGAGGCAGGAGGATTGCTTGAGCCCAGGAGTTTGAGGTTGCTGTGAGCTAGGCTGATGCCACGGCACTCTAGCCCGGGCAACAGAGTGACACTCTGTCTCAAATAAAAAAAAAAAAAGAAGCTTGAATATAATTTTGTCATGTTCAAAAAATAATTCTGTTGGTTGAGAATTCTTGCAAGAAAAAAAGTAATTCTGGTGGTATTTTCTTATTGAATTTACAGATTAAATTTAGGGAGAATTAACTGTTTTCTAAGATAATATTTGGTGTTTAAATCCAAGAGCAAAGGGAATGGCCCTGTCACACCCTGATGGATGGGGGTGTAGCGGTGTAAATGGCAAGAACATTTTGCAGGAACTTGGGCAACATTTACTGAGATTTTAAAATGCAGCCTTCCTTTGACCTTGCAGTTCTACCTCTTAGCATTTTTCTTTAGGAAATAAGTACATAAATGTGCAAAATATATGCAGAGAGATTTGTTATCCACTGTTTGTAATAGCCAAAAAAAAGAAAAAAGAAAAAAAAGGGAAATCCTAAATGTCCATCAGAATAAATTACGGTACATGTGTGGAATGGATTACCAGATAGCTGCAGATGGCTGCTCAATTGATGAATATATGGAGGTGTGTAATGGAGTCCAGCAAACATAATTGAAAAAGACCGCCAGATAGGTGTATGTTGACTCTGTATGTGTGTCTGTGCGTATAGAGATGAAGCACATATTTTATTTTGGCTGGACTCGATGGCTCATGCCTGTAATCCCAGCACTTTGGGAGGCCAAGGCAGGAGGTTCACTTGAAGCTGGTAGTTTTGGAACCAGCTTGGGCAATACAGCAAGACCCTGTCTCTACAAAATTAAAAGAAAAAAAATAGCTGGGCATAGTGGTGCGTGCCTGTAATCCCAGCTACTAGGGAGGTTGAGGCAGGAGGATCGCTTGAGCTCAGGAGTTTGAGGCTACAGTGAGCTGTGATCACACTACTGCACTCCAGCCTGGGTGATAGCAAGACCCTGTCTCACAATTTAAAAAAAGGTGATTCATATGTTTTATATAAAAGAAACACATGCTTTTAGATGCAAGTAACATTTCTGGAAAGATGCAGTAGTTCACAGCGTTGCCTTTTAGAAATGAGACAGAGTATTTGGCCTTTTCATCTTGCACTTTTGTTTTTTATATCATGAATGTGATATTTTTGTAACTTTTAAGAGAGTTAAAATTAAAAACTTTTTAACATTCCTCATGAATAGTATTTACTGAAAACCTTAATTTAAAGGTTTTGGCTGGGTGCAGTGGCTTCTGGCTGTAATCCACAGATTGCTTGACCCTTGCCGTGGAGAGTTTAGGCTACATCCATGTTTTTTTTCCCACTATCACGTGATTAACATCTTTATCCTTAACATTTGGTCCATCTTTTTGGTGATGGGATTTCTAGACTTGAGGTCTTGATGATTCCGGTGGTTTTATGCATTGCCAAGCTGTTTTCCATTTGTACCAGCTTCCCTTCCCAGCAGCTCTCATCACCACGCCCAGCCTGCATTTGGGGTTCTTGCTTCTTTTTGGTAAGGTCAGGCAGCTTTTCAGGTGTTTGTTTATTCTCTTGTGACTTGGGTGTTCAGACCCCTTCACTTTTATCTGTTACCGACTTTTACAGGAAAAATAATGAGATAGAAATGCCTTTCTAGAGCTTTTCTAGCCTCAGCTCACCCATTTCTCAAAACAAATCATAAAGAGATGAAAGAAATGAACGAAAAAGGCATTCGGCAGAAAAGCTTCTGGGCTTCAGAACCATTAGAGAATAAGTTTCTGTTGTTTTAAGCTAACGGTTTTATTAGATTTGTTACAGGTGCCACAGGACACTAATACACTGGGCAAGCAGCTTGCTCGTCCCTGGCAGCGTTTGCCAACAAGTTTTTCAGCAAGCGGGGTTGGGGCACTGTGGCTCCGATTTCCCACTGGGGCCCCATGTCTGGTGCAGCCCAGCCTGGAGAATGGCTCATCTCTGAAGCCACAGGGGCCAGACCCTCATGCCCATCAGCTTCCTGAAGGGCCCCTTCAAGCCACACCCACCATCACTTTGCTTTGCCCCCTGCTCCTCCTCCACGGAGATGTTCCTGCTGCTTTTTGTCCTCCTTGTGTTTCTTCTATGCTTCCTTTTTGTATCTCAAATGTGGTTGGAACAGAGTTCAGAGTTCACCCCGGTGTGTGAACTTACACCAGAAGCCCAGAGCTTCATTTGCGTAGCCTCTGATTGGCTTGGGAGCAGAGTTAGCAAGATGAGAGCTTGCTGGTGGGTGGTGAAGCACGTGGGGATGTCTGGGGGTGGAGCTGGTGGGGTCAGGGAGCTGAAATATGTTCCTTGTGAGTAAACGCCATGTGAGGTCTGCAGCCAGTGTCTAAACCAGCCTTTGTGGGTGATTTTAATCTGGAAGGGGACTTCTGGATCTGGTGGAAGAATCTGGACTTTCACCCAAGGGCACTGGGAAGCTGGCCTTCCAAAGGGTAATGTGATATAACCTTTTTTCTGCACTGGTCCCTGTGGCTTCCTGGGAGAAAGGAAAGAAGGAGTCAGGACCCCTCCAATCTACTGTGGTAACCCCAGCAAGAAACAGTGACTGGGCCAGGCAGGGGGGCCGGGTGTGTGCAGCGGCTCAAGGTGCTTGAAAGGTGGGTCCCAGCTCTTTGTGGTTGACAGAGTGTGATGGGTGTTAATGGATAAAAAGCTAAACTCTGTAAAATAATTTTACAGAGGTTTATTCTGAGCCAAATTTGAGGACCATGACCCGGAGCCACGCCTGAGAGGTCTTGAGCGGTGGACTCACTGAGGTTGGGTCACAGTTTGGTTTTATACATTTCAGGGAGGCAGGGGTTACAGGTAAAGTAATAAATCAATACGTGGGAGTCATACATTGGTTTGGCCCGAAAAGGTGGGCCATCTCGAAGAGGGGGGCAGCTGACAGGTTATAGGTGGGTTTGAAGATTCTTTGACTTGTAATTGGTTAAAGACATGAAGCTTTGTCTAAAGGTTTGGAATGTTTTAACATAGGAGCTGTTTCTCAGAGATAAGTCACCGGCAGAGATTTGCCGTGTAAATTGAGGACCTGCAGGTTTGTCTTGCATACCCTTATGCCTGTTAATGGGTTACAAAGGATGTCACCAAGAAGGGAGGGGGCATGGTGAGGCATATCTGACCTCCCTCCTCCAGGCAGGCAGTTTAGTTTTAGGATATTCCCTTGGCCAAGAGGGGGTCCATTCAGTCAGCCGGTGGGGGGTGAGCCTTACGATTTTGTTTTAGTTCATGTGGGAAGGCCTGCAGCAGCTGTCAGAGAGGACTTCCAGCCCCCGTGGGCAGACCACTTGGGATGCTCCTCTCACCCTGAATACATGTGGGTTTCTGGCCCAGTTCCTCATCCACCTCCCTCTTTGTCAGGATCACTGTGGTGACATCAGACCCACCTGACATCCTCCCTATCTCAACATCCTCTGCCGTGTTTCCTGGGTCCCTTTTGCCCTGTGAGGCAGCATTCTCACATTCACAGGTCCTAGGGATTAGGATGTAAGCCGTTCCCCACCAGCCACAGTCATGGTAAGAAAGACTGCAGAGCTCTGATCAGCGCACAGGAGGAGGGTCAGCCGTGGCGGTCAAAGGAGGGCAGTGTGGAGGAGCAGGCAGACACAGGTTTGTGGTGGTGTGGGGGGCGGCCTTCTGCGTGGGCTCTTTTTCTGGCGCATGGGAGATGTTTCTTCTGAGGGTTTGCTCAGAGGTTATCTCCCAGCTGTAGGTCAAGGGCCACACCTTTCACTGGAGTGTGCAGTATTTGGACAACCCAGGTCAGCCCTCCACTGCACACTCCTGTGACAGGTGTGTGACTCACCTGTGGCCACTCCAGCATCGTAGGTGGAGGGAGCCTCCTTTTGGGGGTAGGGGTCACGTTGAGTAAGTCCGATGTTGAGAGTTAGGTAACTGTGCCCTCACACCAACTCTAAAAGGCTTGCAAGTTAAACATTTTGTCACGGGTTTATGTTGTGCCTTAAACGTTTTTTAGTGGTGTGTTAATGTTCCTCTCTCCACCCTCCCCCACCTCACCCCAACTTGTTATCTGATAGCAATTCTAATCATTCTGCGTCCAGTTTCTTAATGTCTTTATTGGTTCCTTGTCTGTGCTGGCTCTGGCACCGAGGTTGGCGGATACAATCCCTGCATCGTGAAGTCTTTTCTGTTTTAGCATTGACTTTGCTGTTCAGCTACCCGCCCCCTTTTTTTCCTAGTTATTCTTGGAAGACTCGAGTCCTCAGTTTGCCTGAAGAATGTTAGGTGTCTGTTCGGAAGAGGGATCGGGACCTGCCGTGAAGCTCGTGCCTGGCGGGGAGAGTGTCCCTGCAGAATTAAGCTTAGGCAAGTTCTCAGACCCCAGAAGTGTTCGAGAGCAATAGCGTTCTCAGAAAAGATCGCCCGGGAAACGAATAGTCGCTGGGGCGATGTGGTTCCGGCAGCCACAGGTGTTCAGGCCGCTTTGAGGCCCTGGCCCAGTTCAGGCACCGTGGTCTTGGTCAGTAGTTGTCCCCCAACACCCTCTGGGGGGCTCAGCACCTGGATGACGCTGGCAAAAGGGGTTTCCCGAGCCTTCGAAGCGAAAGGCGAGAACTGCCCAAAAACTAAGGCGCGGGAAAGCAAGATTTCCACGACACGTGGCTTGACACTTGATTTTTCGGGGAAAATGGGTTTTCCCGAGGATATGGGGTGAGAAAAATGCCAGCGTTGAAACCTAGAAGGGCAACGAGTGTCTGCCTGCAGGAAGTAACGAGTCAGAGTGTTTGGTGTCTACAGGGGCTCTCCTTCTGTGCTCTCCTAGCCCAAATGGGAGTTGTTTCACTTCTCACGGGGGTCAGAGTTCAAAGTTCTTTCTGAACCGGAAAGCGCTGTGCTGACGAAAGGCACCCTCGGGTGGAGGTGGAGCGAGCGTGGCTGGTAGGAGCAGAGGTGCCGGCGTGAGGTGCACTCCTGGGACATCCAGTCCTCTCGGGTGACCAGTGACCACAGAGAGGCGTGTACACCCAGGCAGGGCTGGGGTCAGAGGTGGGACTCGCAGACTCGCAGCGGGACGGCAGTGTGACTGCAGCGGGAATATCAGATGAGCAGGAGTGTGGCACATTCGGTGATCAGCCTGCCCATCAGGGGGGCAGCATCCCAGAACCCCCAGCCTGGACGACACCCCCAAGCCAGGGAGAGGCGCCCGTGCTGTGCTCCTGGGCACATCATACCCTCCTGGTCCCTACTCCCCCATTGTTTTCTTCCAAAACCAGCTCTGGTTTCATTGTGGTCTTTTAAATTGTACGGTTGTTTACACAGCCAGCTTCCACCTCCCCTTACTAAGTCTCTTGAAAGGACCGGAAAGGTGGGCCCCTCCTTTGGGCGACTGGAGTGGCCGGGGGTCTGTGGGCCTGCTGCTGAGACACACCGTGGGCACTAACCCTGCACCCAGGGCACCCCGGGTCCACACCCAAGCGTGAGGCCTGTTCTTGCACCCGGGGCCCCCTTGGCCCCCTCGGAGGACCTCAAGCCGCAGCGGAGAGGCAGGGCTGGTACCTCCCCTGGACCCAGGTGGGGTGGTCCCAGGGCGTGGGTACTGAGGTGGGGCTGAATCCCTGCTTGTTCCTCCACCCAGCCCAGCCTGCTGAGGACCTCTGCCCTCGTCACAGCAGCCTCTCAGGTCTCAGGAGGAAATGGAAGCACATTCCTGGCCAGTCCCACCCCAGGTGAGTGGGGGCCTTCGCTCTCCGTGCGTCGGCGTCCTCAGACATAAAATGGGTCCCGGAATAGCACCCGTCTCCCCTGGCCGTCACACGTGAAAACTCCGGGATGCCGGCTGGTGCTTCCTGGTGACACCGCTGGCCCTGCAGTGAAGCACCTTACTTGTGTCCTGCACGGACAAGCCAGGAGCTCCTTGGACCAGACCCTGCACGAGTTGTCTGCACCTCGTTGGCAGGGCCAGGTCTCTGCTTTAGATATTTTGCTTGTGGTGGTTGCTCCCCAGGCCCCTGAGGGCAGGTGGAGCTGACCTGCGTCCCCAGGCAGCCACACTGAGCCCTCAAGCCTCACTGAGACCACTGACGGTGTCCCCTTAAAACACCATAGTCGCTTGAAGGGTCTCCCGTAGTCGGTTCGGGCTGAAGCACAGGGCCCTGACCTCACGCGTGTCACAGCAGCACGCTCATTGCCTGGGTGCCAGGGGGCCGGTGCTCCTCATGTCCTGTGAGACTCCCCCATGCCGGGGGTCTCTTCATAGCCACGTCATGGCAGCACATGCCGGAGAAGTTCAAGGATGCATCCAGGTGTCTAGCCAGTAAGTTGTGAAGCGGAGACACCAACTCAGGCCGATAGCCCCTTGCCTGGTGGCCTTCCAAGTGGGGTCAGCAAGTGTATTCTTCTCCGTAGAGGGCCAGATGGGAACCACAATCGTGGATCGCTTCATGGTGGGGATATGTTCTGAGAGATGCACCATTAGGCAATTTTGTTGTTATGTGACCATCGCAGCATGTACTTACGCCTGGGCGGCACTGCCTCTCCTCTCCCTCCTGGGCTACAAGCCCGTGCAGCATGTTACTGTAGGGAGTACTGGGGGCAGCTGTAACACAGTGGTAAAGTATGTGTGTATCCAAACATAGGAAAGGTATGGTAAATACAGCGTAAAAGATGAACCTGAATAGGACCCTGACCATGAATGGAGCTTGAGGAGGGAAAGCAGTTGCTCTGGGTCAGGGTGAGTGAATAGAAAGGCCTAGGATGTTACCGTCCACTACTGTAGACCTTATAAACAGTACATTTAACTACATAAAACATATATAAAACATTTTTAACAATAAATTAACCTTAACTTACTGTATCTTTTTTACTTTATAAACTTTTTAATTTTTAAGCTTTTTGACTCCTTTGTAATAACACTTAGCTTAAAACACAAACATATCGTGCAGCTATACAAAAATATTTTCTTTATATCCTTACTCCATAAGCTTTTTCTATTAAAAAAAATCTTTTTTTAACATTAAAAAAATTCTGCTACCAATAAGACACAAACACACACATTATTAGCTCCTTCCACCTCCATGTCTTACCCCCCTAGAAAGTCTTCAGCAGCGCGTGAAGTTGTTGTCTCTTAAGATAACAGTGCTTCTGCAATACTTCCTCAGGCCTGCCTGAGGCTGTTTTACAGTTAACTTTTTTTTTTTTTTAATGCAGAAGGTATACACTGTAAAAAAATGACAAAAAATATAGTAAACACACAAACCAGTGTGGTCGTTTATTATCGTTATCAAGCGTTACATACTGCACGTGATGGTGTGCGCTGTATCTATCTGGCTGACAGTGCGGTAGGTCCTCCTCCTCTTCCCCTCCGTCTCCCACTTTCCCCTCCCTTTAAAAATGTAAAATCTGTGCTTAGCTGTATTAGTTATCTCATAGTGTTGTAACAAAATGCCACAGACCGGGTGGCTTTAACAACAACAATTTATTCTTGCACAGTCTTGGAGGGTGGAAGACCAAGATAGGGGCCAGCACGGTCAGTGTCAAGGGAGGGCCCTCTTCCTGGCTTGCGGACGGTGATTGTCTTGCTGTGCCCTTGCGTGGGGTGGGACGGAGTGGGGGTGACAAGAGCGCCCTCTGGTGTCTCCTCTTATCTCTTGTAATGATACCAATCTCATTAGATTATTAGGGCCTCTTCCTCAAGACCTCATTTAACCTTAATGACCTCCTTAAATGCCCCGTCTCCAAATAGTTGCGTTGGGAGTCACGGGCTTCAACATACGAATTTGGGAGGGCACAATTCAGTCCATGGCGTTAGCCTTCTGAAAGCACCACAAGCCAGATCTGTCCTGTGGGCTGTCCTTTGCCCGTCCCTGATGTAGAATGAATCTGTGATTTCGTAGCGAGGCTGGGAGTGGGGGGTCTCCTAGTGGGGTTCCCGTGGTCTGCAGTCCAGCAGTCAGGATCTCTAGTGTGGCTGGCAAAGTAAAACATGCACACTGTGAACGTGTCTGTCTGGGCTGCCGTGATGAGAATCACTGGGCAACTTGCAAACAACAGAAGTTCCTGCTCGTGTTCTGGGGGCTGGAAGTCCAAGACTGAGATGCCAGCACGTTGAGGTGCCACATGTGGGAGGCCTGCTTGTGCACAGATGACGCCTTCTCTGTGTCTTCACGTGGTGGGAGGGGCAAGCAGGTTCCCTCAAGCCCCTTTCGAAGGCGTTGCCCCGTAAAGATCGCACCTGCCGCTGTCACACTGGATGTCAGTTTCCAACATGGGAATGTGGGGCGGCCCCGACATTTAGACCACAGCAGGGGCCTGCACGTGGGCCCGGATCTGTGTTTCAGGCATCTGTGTGCCTCGAGGACGTGGCTGTGACCTTCACGCAGGAGGAGTGGAGGCAGCTGGACCTGGCCCAGAGGATGCTGTACTGTGATGTGACTCTGGAGACCTGTGGCCATCTGGTCTCCCTGGGTAAGGTGGGCTCTTCTGTGGCAGGAATTTTCTGCCTCTGGGACTCAAAGCTGTAGCAATTCTGAAGGTGTTCCTAGGGGCCTGGAACACTCTGGAAGCAGGTCCTAGGCATTTCCACTTGCTCTGTCCTGGGACAGGTCTGTGACTTGTCGTCCTGCCACTGGGGAGTTTCCTAGGCATGGCCTTGGGGGCTGCGGGTGGGCTCAGGACCATGCTGTTTCATTTCCAAGCCTGTATCTCTCTCCCGACCAGGACTTCTGCTTTCCAAGCCGGAAGTGATCTCCCAGCTGGAACGAGATGACCTGTGCAGGGTGGGGCAGCCGCCTCCCCGAGGTGAGAGCAGGCTTTGTGAGAAGCAGCTCAGCGGCTAATGACAGGCCAAGAACTCTCCGTGGGGCCAGGGGTCCAAGGAGGGAGCCTTTTGGGGAGCTTCCCTGGGTGTTCCCTGACGCCTGTGGCCAAGCTGAGGCAGCCACGTTCCCATCCGGGTCCACCTGGCCTGAACGGAATCACATTGTTATCATCAGACATTTTTCAGGCATGAGTTTGCACCTAGTCCTGTCTCCCCTTTGGCTGTTACCGCTCAGCTGGCTTGTCTGTTTTTCTGGTTTGGGGGTCTTCAGGCTCCCCCATCCTGTCCTCCACCCAAGCCAGCAGCTCCTGGCACTTCCCTTTCAGGCCCAGCCCTTGCCCTGTGGTTGAGCATCACCCCTCCTCTGGGAGAACGTGCACATCCAGGAAGTGGCAACAGCCCCTCCCTCCCAGAAGAACCCTTTCCTGGGCCCATCTTCCCACCTCTTCCCATCCCGTGGAGCCTCCTGCCTCCTAGGGTGCCGTCCTAACTTGGGTGTTTTATTTTCTCAAAGCTTTATCAAGCTATATAGTTCACATACCATGTAGGTCACCATTTAGAGGATGTAATTCATGGCCTCTACTGTATTCCCAGAGTTGTGGAACCCTCCCCCAGTCAATTCTGGAACATATTCCTCATCCCAGCTAATTAGGCTTCTTTTCTTAATTGTTTTGTTTTTAATTAGCATACCACTTAGCAAAGTGCATCATTTGTATCCTTCACCCTCTCTTGTTTTCCCCAGGCTGGAGACATTGAATTTATCTGAGTTTATCTTGAGTTTTCCTTCCCTTTCTTACCTTGTGACAGTTGCCTGCTACGTCTTATTTCTTCCTCTGAAAATGCACCCACAGGTGCTCGCCCTCTCCCTCCTCCCTGTGCCACGGCCTGCACACCCTGCCTCAGGCAACGTCATTCTGAAGTGTTCGCTGTCAGTGTCTCGTCTTGGCTGGCCTGCATGGACACTCCAGCTTCCTCATTTCACACTCCTGATGGAGATGCTGCTGCAGGGCATTTAATGTCCTTCATCTGGTTTTCAACAGCCAGGCGCAACGTGGGCACATCTCAGCCGCTCAAAGACTTCTTCCCTGCTTCTCGTCCTCAGATACCCCTTCACTGGGCCATTGTTTCATCTGAAAATGTCCTCCCTGCCCCAGGATTCTGAGGTGGTTCCCAGAGGAACCACAGAGATTTGAGGATGAGAACAGTGTCTGGTGTGAGAGGTGCTCGGTGTCTGCGAGAACCTTGTCCAAGAGGGAAAAGGTCTTTGACATGAAGGAATCATCCTCCCAGAATTCAAGGGGTGGCGGGAGAGTGTGGTTAATGCTTTGCCAAATGGGCGGTCCTTGCTGTTTGCAGATTCGTGAAGCATGGGGACTTGAGCACAAGCCTTGATAGCATTAGCCGTGGGTGGCTGCATGGCCAGAGTGGTCAGAGTGACAAATAGAGGAGGAACCTTGGAGGACCCAGACGAGGATCCTGAGCTGGGAGCCTCTTAACACTTGTTTTTAGAGGCCCAGTGTCTTCACCAGAGGGAGGAATCTCCATTAGGACAATAACAAGGGTGGCGAGGTCAACAGTGTTTTGTGCTTACAGTGGCAAACACCGTGCGAGGCTTGAGCACTAACTCACTGATCGCAGAGTAAACCTTGAAAGCTGAGTGTTTCCATTCCTGGCTTACAGCCCAGGAAAATGAGGCTTCAGACAGGCTAAAGACCTGTCTGAGGTGTCAGGTGGGGAAGGCCCGCTGCAGCCAGTCAGCTGACCTTGCTGCTTCAGGGGCAAATGCTCTTCTGCGGAGTCTGTGGGATCAGTTCTGGAGTGGTTGCAGAGTTTTTTTTTTTTCTGTGAGCAGCCTGAAGAAATGGGAGAATTGGTGCATTAAGAATATTATGTCATCTTGTTTTTATAAAAAGAATATTACATCAGTTTTGATGTTTGAGATGTTGTATGAGATCCAGAACTAGAACGTAGAGTTAGATTCTAGGACAAAGCACTAGTTAAGATGCTCTCTTAGTTTCCTGTGGCTGCTGTAACAAATTACGACTAATCTGGTGTCTTAAAACAATGCAGATTTATCCTTTTAAAGTTCTAGAGGTCAGAAGTCTGAAATCAGTATCACTGGGTTGAAGTCAAGGTGTCAGCAGAGCTCTGCTCCCTCTGGAGGCTCCAAATGGGAAATCTGTTCCTTACTTTCCATCTCCTGTGGAATGTCCCATTCCTTGTGGGCCACATTTCCAATCTTCAAGTCTCTCTCTGTTCTGACTTCTCCTCACCTTCTCTGTGCGTATCAAACTCCCTCTGCCCCCATCGTAGGTACTGTTGTGGTTGCCTTTAGGGCCCACCTGGATAATCCAGGATAATTTCCCCATCTCAGGATCCTGCACTTAGTTATTACATCTGCAAGGTCCCTTTTTCCAAAGAGGTCACATTCATAGGGACCAAGGGATTAGGACATACATATTTTCTTGCTGTGGTGAACAGTCTTACACCTGGCAGACACAGTTCTTTCTGTGGATTTCCCCTTTCTATTTATTGCCTTGCTTGTGTTTTGCACTTCACCACTGATATACTGTTTGCTGATCCATCCCTTCTCAGTGGTCGCCCTCATCCCGCCCTCCTCCTCTGATGCTTCTGTGGTAACACAGGCATTGTGGATTTCTTTCAGACTGCAAGGCTACACTTGAAAAGAAAAGGTCAGCTTCTGAGAAAGGTAACACTAGGGAAAAACCATCCCACCACATGGAAATGAATCACTGCATTCAGGGTGAGCAGCCCTGGCCAGAGCCTTTAGGAAACGTGCAGGACCAGAGGGACCGTCTAGAGGAAGCCCAGGAGGAATCTGTGAGGCAGATGCCTCTCACCTCAGAAGGACTGTTTGCTGAAGGGGAACATCATGAGCATGAACTTAGGGGAGGTCATCATCTACGTTTAAGCCTTGTACCTCCAACATTACCTACAAATGAACATTTCCAGAAACTCAATGCACAGGTGAAGAAGTTGAAACAAAATTCAGTTTTCATTACTCATGAGAAAGCCTGGGCAGGTCTGAAGCCCTGTGAAAACTGTCATTGTGCTGGAGCCTTCTGTCAGAGTATGTACTTGAGTAAGCTCGAAAACACTGAGACACCAAATAAAACTCCATGTGGATATATTGTCAGTAGTGACTCCCTCAACTTTGGTACCTCCCTTTGTTTTCATGGTAGAATTTTTTCAGCCGACAATAGCAGTGATTGTAAGGACCATGGAAACCTTTTCTGTCACAGCATGTCTCTGAAAGAACACCAGCAGGTAGATTTTGGAGGAAGTCAGTACGAGTGTAACAAATGTGGGGAAACCTGTTGTGAGAGTTTGTGCCTAGCACAAATGGAAAGAAGTGAGCCTGGTGAGGCCCCCTTCAGATGTAAGGGGAGCTGTGATTCCTTCCCCATGGCCTCATCTTTTAACGACCGTAACATCATTCAGACTGGGAAGAAGCCATATGTGTGTAATCAGTGTGGAAAATCTTTCAGCTGTTGTTCTAAGCTTCTTGTACACCAGAGAACACACACAGGAGAAAAGCCCTATGAATGTACTCAGTGTGGGAAATCTTTCAGTCAGAGCTATGACCTTGTTGTACATGAGAGGACACATACTGGAGAGAAGCCCTACAACTGCAACCAGTGTGGGAAATCCTTCACCCAGAGTTCCAAACTTATTAGGCATCAGCGAACTCACACTGGAGAAAAACCATATAAATGTCTTGAATGTGGAACATCCTTCAGGTGGAACTCTAACCTCATCGTGCATCAGAGAATCCATACTGGAGAGAAACCTTATGAGTGCCCTCACTGTGGAAAATCCTTCAGCCAAAGCTCTGACTTCATAGCACATAAAAGGACTCACAGTGGAGAGAAGCCTTATGAATGTAACCAGTGTGGAAAATCCTTCATTCGAAGCACTCAACTCATTAGGCATCTGCGAATTCACACTGGAGAGAAGCCGTACAAATGCAGTCAGTGTGATAGAGCCTTCACGGGGAGCTCGCACCTTATTGAGCACCAGAGAACTCATACTGGAGAGAAACCCTTTGAGTGTCATCAGTGTGGGAAAGCCTTCACAGGGAGCTCACACCTTCTTTCCCATCAGAGAATTCATTCTGGGGAGAAACCATATGAGTGTAATGATTGTGGGAAATCTTTCCGTCAGCGATCTCAGCTGGTCGTGCATCAGCGGATACATACTGGAGAGAAACCTTATGAATGCAGTCACTGTGGCAAAGCTTTCAGCCAGAGGTCTCCCCTCATTGTGCATCAGCGAACGCACGTTGGAGAGAAGCCCTACCAGTGTAGCATGTGTGTTAAGGCCTTCAGTCAGCGATCGCGACTCGTTGAACATCAGAGAACGCATACTGGAGAAAAGCCCTATGGATGTATTGATTGTGGGAAAGCCTTCAGTGATCGGTCCACCCTTACTAAACATGAGAGAACGCACACAGGAGAGAAACCCTATGAATGCAACCACTGCGAGAAGGCCTTTAGCCAGCGGTGTCAACTTACTAGGCATCAGCGAACTCATACTGGAGAGAAACCCTATGAATGTAATGAATGTGGGAAAGCTTTCAGTTACAATACATCCCTTATTCAACATGAGAAAGCTCATGGGCAGGAAACCCTATGAATAATCAAGATGGGGATGTTCCCTGCCAAGCCCTTGTTACTAGAAATTAGGTGACCAAAGTGGGACTCTCAGAGTAGTGTCCAAATGACCATGTATGTCGGAATTGCCTGGCATGTGTACTGAAACTGCATATCACTAAGCTTATCCCCAGCTTACCAAATCAGAATTTCTAGTGATAAAACCCGGGTATCTGCAGTTTCTGAAAGCAGCCCGTGTGATTTGTTTATACACCAAAATGTGTCTGCTGTTGTCTTTAGGTGAGAAGCTATGAATATGACCACTGATGAAAAGCTTTCAGAGGTGTTGGCAGGAGTTAGGAAACTCAGGGTGGAGCTGTACCCTCCAGAAGATATATTTAGTGCAAACAACAACCCAAACCGTGATCAGACGCTGTCCCCAATTAACACATTTCTGGAAATGATGGTGGGCTGGAAAATATTTTTGCTGCAGAGCCCTGAAAACTCTAAACTACTACAGGAGGAAGTTGGAGTTTAGTGATGAAATATGAAATCAGCCACCTTTGCTGTAAACCAGCAGTAAAGAACAAAAATTGAAGGAGGCCTGGGTCTGGGAACTATTCCACAGCGATTTTATTATTAGAATTAAAAGTAGACTGAGTATTTCAGAGACTCCATTGTGCTCTAAATTAACTTTGTGGTTCAGTTAGGTAGATTCTAACCAGAACTTGTGGCATATTAATATGGAAAATACTTACCAGGTGAAATGAGAACAGGACCCAAAGTGGTGTGTACACAGAATGTTACAACCGCATAAAGACATGCACATGTGTGGTTGGCTCAGTAGGTCCACTCAGCAGCATGTTCACTGAAAGAAAGAAGTAAATCAACAGCAGTGAGGAGAGTGGGGGAGGCCATCGCTGCAAATTTAAGCAAGATGGGAGCAGATTGAAGGGGTGCAGCCTGGAGATGCAGAAGGCTCATGCCAGAAACAGGTGAGGAGGGGCAGCGGTGGAGGTGTGGCCCCCAGCAGAGCTGTAGACTGACAGCCAGGTGGGAAAGCAGGGTTCTTCGTGAAATGTGGACTCTTCCCCATTTTTTTCTTGCCTGGCAGTAATTATCTGGCTGTGGGTAAGCAAAAAATAAAGTAGGGAAGGAGTTATGCGGTAAAAAAAATTAGTCCAAGGGACTAGAGAATCTGGTGTGCTTTGCTCTAGAGCAAGGGCTGCCTTATTCTGGCATTTTAGGACTTTTATCCTAATAGCTGGTTCTTGCCCTTGTCACCCCAAAGCAAAGCATGCTGTTTAGCCAGTTGCACCCATCTGTTGTTGTCCCATCGCTTTGTGGTGGCCTCTTCGATATCTGGGAGGCAACAACAAAGCCTCCAACATGAAAGAAAGAATCTAAGCTAAAACAGAAAAACCAACCCCCAAAGAAAATGGTAAGAACCAAATATTTAAAATGTTCTGTTATCTAAGAGTGAATGAAGAAAAGACTACAAATGAAAAATGACACAAAGGTCCTATGGGGGGAACAAAACAAAACTATGAGAATAAGAACACACTCTTTGAAATTAAAAGTAAAATTCTTGAATGACTAAATAAGAAAATTAAAAAGGTAAACTTCCCCAGGGCCGAAAGGAAATCTCCCAATTATCCCTGTTACTATCCAGGATTGGCAAGATCCACGTGGCACGAAAAATTGAGAACACCACAATTAAAAAGAGATCGCGGAAGCTTCTGGAGAGAAAATAGTTTTAAAACTAAGAAAGAAATGTGGATTTAATTTTTTTTTAAGAAAAGGAATGTTTCTTCTCCAGAATTAAAAAAGGGGAAGGTAATCGGAGAATTCAAGGTAAATCGTCCAGAAACTGCACAAATTGTACAAAACGGTTACAGTCCAAGTGTGAAGCAAACGAGAAGGGAATATCCTCTTTACCCTAATGCCGGTAATTCCTCCTGCAAAAGGCAACAGGCTTGTG